AATGATTCCAAAATGCCAGCATTGATCAAGGATCTCTTTAACACTTCTCCCATTCTATATTATGTTATTACTAGTTGGCTGTAGCATTCGTAATTTTATATAATCTTGTTGGATATATGGATTCAGATGCTTATGATCCGGAGAAGGTGTACTTTGAAAGTTTTCAATAGCTAATTTTCTTTTTATTACGTAAGTGGTTCCAACTTTAGATATTACTATGTTGAGATGCTAGGAAATGGTATGTTGAGATATCTGGCCCCTACACTCTTTCGTGCAATTATGATGCAGATCTTTTGTTTTCCAGTAACATAATCTACAATAGAGCCTTCCTCTTCAGTCCACTAGTTGTATTTATGCGATATTTCAAGCTATCTGTATAATGTATTTGTCATTCTTAATTTGTGAAATATTATTTTTCGCAATCAAAATCACAAACTGCATATTTTACTTTCTTAAATGCTCACGTCATCCATGGATACAAAATGAAGCACCTATTGGATATATTTTAGATCTCAAAAGCTTTCATCGTTCATTGACCACAACATTTAACTTTCAAAACTACCTTTGTATGGAAGATCATGTCTTGCTTTACAATTGGTTATGTTCGTGCCTAACAACTGATCTCAGAGAGGTAGAAAATACCTTACTGAAATAATGCGAACATTACGTAACTACAACTTTTTATTCTTGCCCAATTGGCTGTGAGTCCCAACAGCCTCTCTACTTCCTACTATACGTAAGCATTGGTAAGTCCCTCGATGATTAATAAAACTGGAAGAACACTTCTCTTTAAGGATGATACGAGTATTCTTTGTTTTTTTTTTCACAATAAAGAAGACTGTAAATAGTACAATATAAGTGGCCTCCGTATAACAAATTAAATAGTTAATGAAAAGAGAAACGCTTTCAATGCAGTTTTTCCATTTCAAATATACAGCTGCTGTACTCAATTGAAATGAACGTGTGTGCCCATTGACTGATATAAAGATAAAAAATTTTTTACGGTCTTTCAATTCAGTCAACTCTTGAAATAGAACATCCATATTAAATGAATTGAAACACTTATTAAGCTGTCTTTAGTTACTTTGCAGAATTCTATTCGAAATTTAGTCAGCTGCCCTCACACTGCCTTGATATGTATTATATCGGAATGTTTCATTCCCTCGTGAGATATGGCATAATAGATTGAAGGCGGAAAATACATCGTATAACTCCCAGACTTTATAGATTACAAAAAAGAAATTGTAACGAATAATACAGAAAATCCCACGCCATGTGATCGCTTGCTAAGCATCTCTTTATAATCTCGGTTAATTTTACCATTATCATTGTCCTCTTCATATATGAATCATGGTTTGTGTCGAAAATGACTTACTTAAATGGCGAATATATTTTCAGCAAACGCCGTTGTCTATAGCACAACACTCGATGTAAGTAATCATTAATCTTCAGGGAACAGTATCAACAGCTCACTACAAAAAATGCACATATCAATACATGTCATTGAATTTCAGACACCTTGCCAAATGACAATAAACGATTGAATTTGATACGCAAAGTTTTAAGTCAAAAGATAAAAAATCTTTTCTGCCTGCACAACTGTTTTCTATACAACTTAGGCACTATACCGCAGCGCCAGCCAAAAGGAAAGTAATATCTAAGTTTTAACAATGCATTTAATGATTATATTACCATTTGCGATTGTAATAACTGTAACCAAGTATTGTACTTTAGCTTTGGCGTCAATGACCCCCCATCTTCGATCCAGGATTTTCATCAGTTTCGCTGATCCTTGAGTAAATGCTGAATGCTGCCTTTGTTTTGCTTCTGGACATAAATGTAACTTCAAATTAACTTCTTCCCATACGCACATCACACACAATTTTTAAACTGTGTTTCTTATGTAAATAATAAATGAATACCAGTCAATTCTATTGAATGTACGTCTCGTTTTAGTTTAAAATTTGTTCGCTCTCTGTCTCCAATCTATATATGAGTTGCCTTCAACTACAAGCCAAAAGGGAGAAGAAATATAGGAAGACCACAGAAAAGATGGAGCAGTTTACAGGAGCTGGAACAAACTGAACAAGTCTAATCCGAGCAGTTGATGATGACGATGATGAGAAAGAATATACATAGTTACATACTAGTGTCAGAAAGAATCCTTTCCATAAGGTTAAAAATAAATAGGGAATATTATAGTATAGTGCGCTAGGAAAGTCTCTCTGCAGAGAGCCGAGTAAAGGCCTCTTATTAAATAAAAATTAAAAAATATTAAAATAAATTATTAAAATAGCATTCATGTTGGTAATAACCAGATCACTGGAAAACAAGTGAAAAGGACATCACTTCCAGCATCTGTAATAATTGTGGTGAGTACACAATTTACATTTTACAAGCTGCAGCTAATGCTACCAACATAATTTAACTTGCTAGCACTCTCACCTGCCAGATGCCACTGTGGAGAGACTTTTCTGGCATGCTGTATTTTTGCAGTGTATGCATCAGAAGAAAGAAGATAGAAACTAGGCAAGTTGGCAAAGAATTACAGAAGATTGTTGTCAAAATGAACCCAAATGATTAACTAGGTTTTAGCTGTGATTTCATCACTAGAAATGGTCATGAATCAATAAGTAATACAGTCAGGGCAAAAGGCAAACAGGCAGAAAATGCAAACAATGGAAGAAAACTAAGATACTTTGAAACATAATAATTCAAGAATTACAAACAGTTTCTTCCAGAAGAAAGATAAACAGAAAACCACATGGGCAGCTAGAGGATTAAAAACTATTATTGATTACTTCCTAGTAAATCAAAAGTTGGTATTGTGTGTCACAGGTATGGAGTTTTTTGACGTTTTGATAATAGTTCTGACCATTTTCTTCTAGAATGCACATTATGCTCACCAGAAAGATGGCTTAAAATCACCAAAAAGAAATGTTTTAATATATTTACCCGTAACACTTTAAAAGTACATTTGCTAAAAGACAAAGGAATTCAACAAATGTACTTCCTACAAACAGTACGTACCAAACAAGATTAACACAATATCTGCTGCAGGAAACAACAAATGAAAATGTCAATCAGGAATGTAATAATATTAAATGATGTGTTACCAAAGCTGTATCTGAAGCTTTAGGAACAAGGAAGAAGAGGACTGAGAATATGGAATGAGGAAATTGAAACTATCGTAAAGAATGGAAGGATGCTCATCTGAGATTTCTTTAAAGTAAGTAAATTTTTTAATATATAAGAAAAAGAAGACATGTGCATCTCAATCAATATAAAAGGGGAAAGCATTTTCAAAACCTTCGGTTTGATTACAATGCCCAAGAAGAGAGCGTAGGCTTCTGCAGCCAGAGTCTGTAGCTGCTTGGCTGTCCAGAAGACATCACGTCCTAGATGCAGGTGCCAGTGATTTAGCTGACATTCTGCAACCTTCCTCAGTGCAAAATGTGGCATTTCATCCTGAGAAAAGCCACAGAATGCCAACCAATATATTGGCAACTGTGACTAGAACATGGCATCTCCTGGAGAGCCAAGCAGCTAATGCCCAAGAAGCAAAACCATCAGATGACATCATTGAAACTGACCAGTTAACTATTGATGGGCTAGAAAAAAGCAATTGCAACAAGTGTATGGATCTTCAAAATACAAAGAGAACAGAGTATACTAAAATTAAATGTTATGCAAGGGTACCAACTATCACTTAATTTGTTATAAAAACAATTAAGGAATTCTCCTGGGAAAGGTCTCTAAAATAAATGTATTATTTGCGGACAATATCATTTTGACTGCTAATTCTTAAGATGACCTCCAGAAGTTAACATTTAAATTACAAAAACAGGTGAAAGAATATAATTTTAAAATATCAATTGCCAAGAGTAAGGCTACAACTTTTAGAAGTAAATACCCCAAATGAACAAAAATAGTAATAAACAATACAAGTATTAAAAAAAATACCCAATTTCCAATATTTAGAATGTAATATAACGTTTTTTAACGACATATATGTTCAGCAAAAACAGCAAATTTCAAGCAATCTATGACACTATCAAACACACTGAGAAACAAAGTGTGAAAAGAAACTAAGCTAAACCTTTATGAAGCAATGGTTTACCTATTTTCCTCTTTGGGTATATGGGTAACCATATGCAGGGAAAACAAGAAAATAATTGCAGAAGAAATGTAATTCTTGAGGTACATTGAAGACTGTACATAATGGATCAGTTGAGAAATTAAGATTTTATAAAATAATTAGGTATAGACTGCATACTAGACAAACTAAAAATCTTTAGAAAAAATGGCTGGATCACTTGAAAAGAATGAACAAAGAGAGGTTACTCAAGCAGGTTTATTATTGTATGCCAAAAGGGAAAGGAGAAGTAAGAAGATCAAGGGTGAGATGGTCTTTACTAGATGACTTTGCAGGAGCAGATTAGTGTGGTCTAATATTTCCTATTACTACTGCTGATAACAGTTATGATATTGATTAAATTTTTTTTCAATCTTTTTTAATCAATTTCATTTCGAAAAATCTCTTGGAATATTTAACCTGCATTATGAACATCTAACCATTTTTGCTTATTTAAGATATTTATGTTCATCAGAACTGACATAATTTCTACTAGTCAGGCCAGATGGGATGTGTTACTGCCAACTCTACATTAATGGACTAATTGAGAAATGATTTTATAAAAGAATTGGATATAGACAAACTAAAAGTCTATAGAAAAAACAGGCTGGGTCACTTTATCAAGTGCATTAAGTATCAACTTCATAATCATTGTATTACAGGCCTAGAATAAATAATCACAAACACCAATATTTTTACTTCCTGGCATCATGTCCTGCAATTTAAAGATTTAGGAACTCCTTGTATGTTGAGGCCCCTAGAATGTTTAGCCTATCTCATTAATTCACTCCTCAGTATAGGGAAAGAATTAAATCATAGTTTTTTAAAATGAACTGTTGAAATAATGTATTTTCTTGTATTAAAGGTGATTCTATTGACTCAGGACTTGAGACAGAAGCAATAGAAAGAATGGCAACATATGTTATTATTAATTCACGTGATAAAATGAAATTTACATTGACACCATCTGCTGTTCAAATATTGCTGGATGTTGCCAACGGTTTCATTCAGAAAACATCAAGTGGACCAAGTCCATCTTTCTGTAGCTCAGATGCACAAATGTCCCTTTTTAATGAGTTAGGACCTTCTTCAAAACTTTCTGTGATTTCAATGTCAGAAGTGAGTACTGATTTTTATTTACTTAGTTTCTTCTGGTTTTCTTTCCCACATTGGTTGTTTAAGGAGGTAGATATATTTTTTGATTTTATGATTTGCAGACAGATCCTGATGGTTCAAAAAAAGTGCTTCTCACAGCAACTTATGAAAAATCAGATTCTCTTCCCAGTAGTCCAGCATCAACAGTTGCATCAGCAGAATTATTAGATGTTTATCATTCTGATGAGTATGATGACCTCGACTTGGAAAGGTACAGCAACATAAAGATTATGGTTTATTGACTCCAAGAACTAAACAAAATTGTGTTTGTACAAGAGATCTCATAAATGCATACTTAACTACCAAAGATAAAGTACTATTTATATCAATTTACTAGAACTTTAAAAATCATTATTTACAACATTTTTACCAGAAAAACAAAAAGAAGGCATCAACAGTTAAATCTTCTTTTCCATACTCACAATGTGTACCATACAAATCTGCCCTGTTTCACTTACAAAGAATAAGTCATTTTAGGTTTATTTTCAGAAGCATATTTCCAGTGCAGTTACTTAAAGTGGTATCCCCTTGCAGAATATGGAAGTTTATATTCATAAAAACATACTTAAAAGGCATGTAATAGGATATAGGATTTAATAAATCTCATGGCACCTCATACTATGTATATAAATATGTGACAAATTTTTGTGAGCTTTCATACAAGCAAGTTTCACTTAGTTTTTGGAGGTGAACCATGACCTTTCCTTGTAAATGATTAGAGAATAAATGAAAAACAAGTTGCACATGCTTCATGAATATATATGTGATTTAGTAAAATGAGTATCTATTACAAATATCACTCATATTTTCTAGTTTTGAAGGTGGTTTTCAAGATAACAGACATGAACCTTCAACTACACAAGAAATTTTTTCACCTACATTAAGTTTTCCCAGTGTTCCTATTACCAGGCTTTATAATAACATTACAAATGAACGTCTTATTGTTCAAATGGAAGGTATGCATTTTAATTGGCCCCATCTTCAAATGCCAATTACTTTGTTGTTAATGATGAAGGAACTGGGATAATTTTCTGTGAAAACTTTTTTATAGGTTTTGATGATCTTCATGTATTGATTCCTCAAAGGGAAACCAGTAAATTGCATATGCTTCAACCTAGTAAAAACAATACCAGGTATTATGTAATGGTCAATGTAACAAAATGTCATGAGCACAGGAATGTGTGTGTTAGATCTCCACTTCAGGTAAACATTTGAATTCCTGAAAACATCAATGATTCAGTTTATTTTTAAAGAGAGAGTTTTACTATTTCTTCCTAATAATGTTTTCATTTTTCAGATCAAAAATGAAACTTCATATGCAATAGGACTCTACTACAAGAAAGTAGTTTTAGATACTTTGGGTGTAGAATACATAGGAGAATCCACTAACCCCTTGAGGATACTATAAGGGTGGCAATTGTAGAACCAGATGAAACCTTTAATGTGCCTCTCTTTGTAGCATATCATTGCAAACTTCACATTCTCCCAGCATATGTGGAGTAAGTATGATTATTCAGTAATTTGCTCAGAAAAATACTCTGTTAACAAAACATATTCCTCAGATTTTCTTCATTGTTGATGTATTGTATGTTTAATGCTTGTTTCTTTTGAAATGAGTTTCATTAATTGATTTTATCTTATGCAGCAGTTATTATGTTAGCGAAGGCAACCTCTGGTGGCAAGAACTAGCATCTGATTTAAATGTACCAAAAGATATCTTCTGTTCTCCCAAAGAAGAAAAAGATCCAACTGTTTTCTCCTTAAGGGTATTTCCCATTCATTAATATTTTTTTAATACTATTGAGATTATTAGTAGGTGCATTCTGAACAATGAAGTTTTAATATTGCTTTTAGGCTTTATGTGTGGAAGGTGTCGCTCTAGGTAGAGCTTCTCGAACAATCCCAAACTATTTGATCAAGCTACTGCCACCTTTGATCATTCATAATTATTTACCGTATGCACTTGAAATTAAAATTGCAAGTATTAAGTATGAAGTGCGTATTGAAGCAGGAGAAAAGACAAGCGTGTACTTTCTTAATCTACTTAAAATGCATCGAATAAATGTAGAAGTAAGTAAAATATTATTAACGTACTTTCCTAATTCATGTACTTCTTATTTTTTGTGCAGAAAACACTTGATAGATTAGCCCAGATACAAAGTAGTGATGAGGTGAATACAAGAAAATGTCCATGTATCTCTCTATCTTTGAAAAAATTTGCAAAAGTAATTTTTCTTGACAAAGATGTTTTTTACTTTTCTGATTTCACAGGTACCAAGTTATCTAGGAATACCCTGGACAGGTGGTTTCAATTTAACACCTGATCTTGAAGAGAAGATGGTAACAATGGCAACAGAATATGACACTGAAGGTGGTAATAAACAATTGGGTTTGAGTTTACGAGTTGAAAGAGGAGGATCATGTGATGTAATTTTGTATGCTCCCTACTGGATTATCAACAAAACTAGTTTACCTCTTCAACTTCGGGTTAGTGTGAATTTATTATATTGTTTACATGTTTTTATTATATTATAAGAGCATAATGTAAGATTATGTCCCACCTTTCAATGTTTAAAAACTTAGAATGCTAATGCCCTAATGTTTCAAGTTTTGTAAGGATAATCTCATTATTTATTTGTCTTGCCCACTTTATTTATTCATGTAATGGTTACTTAAATGAAGTGTTTTGGCAGGAAAACTTACAAATGAACAATTCAATGGATTTATAACTTTCATCACAATACACTGCACTCAGGTTATTTGAACAAAATATAATATAAAGAAATTTCTTGTTTGTTTCTCAGAAAATTTCTTTGTATTATCTTTTGTTAATATAATATATTTCCTTTGAAATTTTGCAAAAAGCTGAAGTCTTTCTGGGTTTTGATGAGTTCACTCCTAAAGACTTGAAGACTTCTCTGCCACACCTCCTGTTGAGGCCTAGGACAGAAGCTCTAGTCAGCCTAAGATTATTAGGTCTGCTTCAAGGGGAATACCAGCACAACAGTTTAACACTGTTTTTGACCCAGTTGAAGAACTTGACTGGTCTGAGAAGATTCTTTTCTCTGAGATGCCATTAAAAGAGGCACTGAAAGGGTCTAATGTGACTGAGTGGGATGAGAAAATAGCATGTGAGGTGAAATCCAACCTGAAAAATGATATCCGGGACCTTGTGGACTGTCCAAGAAATTAGAACTTGAGAAGAGGAAACCAAGTCTGGTTGACCAGGGATTCAACCAGTAATCAGCCTTTCACTTCATGAGCCCAAAGGCATCTTATGGCATTTGTTCCTGCCAGCCATGCAACTACAATATGAGACAACTTCACTCCAAGACTACCTACTTATATGAATAACTTGAAGAGGTCTCCATGAAAATCTTCAAGAGATCCTGAGGGTCATCTTAAGTTCTGAGGACAGACATTGCATTGGATTGAAAGCAGTGGTGTAAAGTTTGGGCTCGCAATGCAAGTAGGCCAGGTAAAAGAGGTCCAATTTTTAGGGTATATTTTTGTTATTTAATGTACTAACACCATCCCATCAAAATTTGATCCCTGTTCAGTGGCATAGATTGGGGGGGGGGATACATTTAAATACGAAGAATATAATTGATGAATATTAAATGGATTAATGATATTTTCAATGTAATTTTGGTTTCGAATTCAATTTATCAATTTGCTCACAAATTATTTCAATCAATTTAGGAAAATGCACATTATTATAAGATAAAAAAGGAAATTTCCAATCATTATTACAATACTGAGTTTCTACTGGAGGTAATATTTCAAAAGAACATCAACTGTAATCTCAAATGGCAAAGAAAGAGATGAACATGATTCTACAAACAAAAAGAGTTGATAGGGTTGAGAAGCTTATTTTCATAATGTAATATCTCTTTTTACGTTATTTTCTGTTCATAGAAAAATTAAATTTATGGTTTAATGCTCCTTTAACTTAATGATTTCTTTAGTTACAGTAAAAAGTGAAGGTTCTGTTCATGCAATTACTTTTAATAAATTTAGTTCAAAACATTTTACATTAATTAATTAAAATCTAATGGTAATACAGTATAATTTGACTTTTATTTGAAGTTCAATTATTGCCTATATTGTATTATTGTCTGTGCATTAAAAACCATTGGGAAGGATCAACAACTTAAACAGACATCAAAACCAATAGTAATATATTGGTGTGTTTGTGTTACCAATATTAATATATTGGGTTAATTGACGTGTTTGTATATTGACAAACACGTCAATTAACAAATTAACAAGTCATATCTCTATTTATACTTTGTGTTAGTGTCACAATACAAAATAAGTCTCCATAGAACCAAAAATAAAAAATTAAAACAATTACAAATTGTCCCAATTAAGGTTAGTGGCATACACTCAAATTAATAAAAGTAGGTAAACATGAATAGAATTAGTTTTGGATTAGTGAATTGAAGACCCAATATAAAAACATAAGCATTAAAAGAACAACTTGGATTTTTTGGGATGGATCCAAGAAAATACAAGTAATTCTTGTACCAAGACATCTAATGGTGTAAAAAATATTGAGGACCCAAAATAAGTTAAAACCTGTTTTAGAACTCATAATTTGTCCATACTTGTCTGTTCTGGTACTTGTCTGTTCTGGCACCTTACACAAGGCTACACTACATCAGTTCTACCCACTCTAATACTACATATACTCTAGGCTACACACTTTTACTGGAAAAAACCCTTGGTCTAATTAAAAAAGTAAAAAACATCATGTATGTAAAGAAGAAGACACCAATAGTTCTAGCATTTGTAATGGCAAAAATGGCAAATTATCTTTTGTAGACCACCCCACCAAGGGGTTATCAAGCAACCAATTTCCAAAAATCTACTGTTTCTCTTTGTATTTAGTTCTAAGTAATATTCTGTTTTACTTTATTATTTTCCCAGAATTTGAAAAGACGAAAGAAATCATGAAGTATTGATTGTAACTTTTGACGCAAATCTTAACCAAAATCCAGCCAAATTTCCCCAGTACAACCACAGAAAACTGAGCTTTCCCTCAATGCAGAAGGAGTCAAAGGAAGCAAGTTTCTGAGGAAGGTGTTTCTTGAAGAGTTGAGTTTCAATTACTTGCCTTGATAACAAGTCGTGTCAGTTGTGACTGTGACTTGGCTGAGAATACTACCTACCATGCAAGAAGCAAAAACTCACTAATATTTACCACCTCTTGTAGTTTGGATTGGTGAAGCAGAAGGTATTTTCATCTCTTCACATTCTGGAGGAGGATCAGGGCCGACTTCTCTTGAGCCCAAAATGGCCTAATCCAAGACCCAAACATGAATGTTGCATGCAACAAATTGGGTAGACTCTCAGTAAACACCTAGTGAACAACAAATTCTTTGCGAAGTGTTAAAGTCTTGTAATGTCTGTTTGTCAGAGAGGCTGTAGATGATTGTATGGAGTGACTGTGTGTTTAAGGCAAGTTTATTTTGTTCTGCTTATCTAGCTGCCTTGTTACACATTTATTTTTAAATCATGTCATGAATAATTGAATATGTAATTTACATTTTAGAAGATGATATTAAAGTAAGTTGATGCCAAGTGTTTGTATCTTAAAAAATCATATAATATCATTTAAAATAATGAAAGTTACAAACTTAAAAAAAACTCAAACTATGACTGGATTTACTGTTTTATAATTATACTTTCTTATTTTTCTTTTGTATACTTTTAAGTGATCCTTTGATGAGCAGAAAAGCAAAGCGATGATAAAAGAAGCATTCTCTGCTTACAAAATTCTTAGATATTATGTGGTATTTATTTTTACTGATTTATTTAGGAAATGGTTATGTGAATGTTTAAGGCCATATTTTTTGACAGACAAATTCTTGTAACATTAATTTATTTCATAATTGTGCCACAGATTTGGAGACTTTCGTCCCCATCATCAGGAAGATACATGAGAGCTCACAAAACAGATATTTTTTTCATTAACATTATTCTGCAGATAATGGTCACTATCTGTTTTGTGAGATTTCATGTGTCTTCCTGATAATGGGGACAAAAATCCCCAAAGCCATTGCACGATTTTGAAATAAATTAATGTTACAAGAATTCGCCAGTCAAAACATATGGGCCCTAACCCTTCACAAAATCATAATTAATTAAGATAGACTAAAAGGTAGAAATAAGAAAGTATTTAGGAAATGTGTGTGGTGGCTAATTTGAATATTAGTAATGTAAAACATTTTTTGGATTTCTGTTGGAGTTAAAATTTTAATGGGAGGAATTGTGAATGAATACAGAATATTTTTGTAAATTCATACATCAATATTAACAAAATAAAATAACAGTTACTGTAAAATTTAAATAAATTTATTTTTGTATATTTACTAAGATTTGTCATTATTTCAGGGATCATCATCAGATGTTGTTTATGAAGCACAAAGTGAAGAACCTCTTTTATTTTGCTATAAAAAGCCACGCCGTAAATGTGTAAGATTACGTGCTTATCAGTCTTCCTGGTCATCAGCATTTTCTTTGGATACAGCAGAATGTTCAGGTCTAGTTATATGCCAAGATCGTGAGCGTCACAGACTGTATCGCATTCTTTTGGTGATAAACTCATCTCAGCTCTACCCTCAGTATACACGTATTGTGACTTTACTTCCAAATTTTCTTGTGAGTAATAGTAGTCGCAAGCATCTACGATTCATGGAAGAAAATGAAAGAGCTGATCTTTGGATTGATTTATCTCCTGGGCAAGTTAGTAGAAAGCAGCACATCTTGTAAAATATTTCAGTTGTAACCAGGGTGTGAATTGGTGATTTTCTCTGAGTGGGTGGGTGGTTCAAGCCCATCTTTACTTACTTTTCACAGTCTGAAAAAATTATAAAAATACTCTTGAAACAGATTTCTTTCTTTTGATTCTGTAAGTTCAACAATTTAAATAAATGGAGGTTCCTAATAGAAAAAATTAATACTTTTCCAGAAGGGGACATCACACTTTTTTGGAGAGTAATTCTAAATCCAATTGCCCAATATCCTCCCATCAATTAGCACCCTGATTTTCATTAGTTATGAATGTTTACCCAATTTAATTACTTCTTTTCTCAAAAATAAACTTGTGCTTTCATTTTTTGTCAAAAATACTAAAATTTTTAATTGTTTTTCAGTGTATACCTTTCTGGCCTGAGACAAACTCAATGAGAATGTATGTAAAATTTCGTGACAGCAAAGTTGTGTCCCAACATTTTCCTATTACTCAAGTACACCAGACAGTTTTACGAATGGACAAAGGAGTGAGTTCATGGATTTTTATAAGTTAAATTTTTTCTTGTATTTCATATACTGTCTTTAGTGTTAAAATGGTGTTTGAGCAGTAAACATTTTTTCCCTTTCTATTGAATCTGCATATCTTTATCTTATGTTTAGTCAGGATTGTGTGTCCAAGTCACTGGAGGAGGTGAAGTGCCATTTTCAATTTCATTTAGAAATTACATGGTGGGTGATGCTCCAGTTCGTGTTGACAATCTGTGTGAAGATCTCTTTTTGAAAATTCATCAGCAAGACCTTGGACAGGTTTGATTGGCTATCTTAAATTTTTATTTACTTTAAGAAATAGAGAGATGAAACAAATTTGATACTGAGTATAACTTCTGATGTTTCAATTTAGTGAACCATTACATATGGAAATAATCATATTAAATCCATTGCATGAATCTACATAAATTCTTGCATTTACAATTCTGTAAGTGTATTTTATAGAAATGAACTTTTCAAACTTTCTATTCAAGGTGCTTCCTTGACAAAAACCTACCTTTTTCCACCAGAAGTGGGGAGTAGCTGGGGTATCCTTACATAATATAGAAAAAGTAATGTAAAGCTAAGCCAATGCAGCTTTTTTTCATTCTTTTTTTATAACAGATAAGATTGTATTGTAAGGCTCCGCTTTGATACCGAAAAAAGTGGATAATTCTTGTTCCTATATCAAGTAAATTGCTTTCTCTAACTCGTTGTGTAGTCAAAATCCTCATTTTGTGGGTCTTTGATACTGATTTTTTTATGGTGAAATGTCTGTGTGCGATCTACGCTAGCGCCTAAACCATTCTGGCGATTTTCTCCAAAATTCATATTCTCAGCATTTGAATGATATGGCCTTACTTGTGGCCCTGCGAAACTGAAACGGATATTTTGGGTTTGAGATACGGTGTATGAGGAGAAGCGAAGACAGCGTGGCTCAAGGGATGCCAGCATCACAGGATCCTTTGTTATCTGTCACTGCTGAAGATCACCTCTACATGCCGGGCATGGCAGGTCATGCACCACTGACCAGTCTAACCTTTTTGAAAGTTGCATGTTGTTATGAGTTACAAGTTGTTTCATGTCGTTAGTAGTCGTATGAATGGTGCCTGGCATCCCTGATGATTCTAGTGATTTTTCTGATATTATCAATAACTGAGGGTAATTTATAATCATCATAAAATACAATAAAGAAACATTATTTTTAATTCATGTAACAATACAAACTTCGTCATCCAGTGGCGCGTCTGGGTATTGGAATACCTAATGAATTTCATACTTTGCAATCCAGGATGAGTCACGTCACAGTCGGTCGAGCTGGTGTTTCGGCCATCACGTGGCCTTCTTCTGAGCTTAACTGCTCCGCAGTGCCAGTGCTAGACAATTTTGGGCCTGGGGCAATGCTGAAATGTAGCTCCCCTTCCCTCAAAAAATTAATAATGTAAAAGTTGTATCAAGAAACTATAAGTATGAGTTATTTTATTTAAACAAACAACAAAAATTACGTTTAGACTAAAAAATTGGGAATATATTTTAAATAAGTTTTAAGGAAAAGTATATAGTGATCAAATAATACAATTTCCACACTGGACTTAAAATGCTAAAACATTGTGTTTAGTAAAGTGCTTAACATATAAATAACTTCCTTACAATCTACAGCAATGAAAAACCTATATATAATATTTACAGTAAAACCCTATCTTTAAATGTAGCATAATTTATTACACTAACATTTTCCATTTTTCATACATACATACATCATTGAGGCAAGGCAAAATACCTGTATGGGATTTTGGATTCGAAAAGCAAAACATTAATGTCGAATTTCAAGCAAAATATAAGGAATTGCGCAATGACACAAATTTAAATGAGTCATTGAGAATGTAAGGTCTTAGGAAATACAAATATTATATGAAATAAAAAATGTTCTTACAATTTAAGATGTTTTTCAAAAACTGAGCGTTTAAATAATATGAGATATTGTTGATAGGAGACACGAGACGCTAGATGCATAGGAACGATGGCCATCAGGCCGAGGAGTAAAAATATTTTGTAGTCGGTTTGTGTGAGATAGAAAATGGACATGTGGTCCACATGAATAAGAAAATAGGGAAGTAAATGAAATATAATTTATTAGCAAGAAAACAGTAACATTCATGGGATATTCTGGTCGCGAATGATAGTAAAACTCAAAAGTTAAATTTATGTGGAAATACAAAGAGCTCCAACATGGTATTATAGAACAGTTCCTGATTTCGTCTTCTATGCCAAGAGTGCTGTAATAATCTTTGCAAAGGAAAGTTTAGAAAAAAGTGGAAAAAAAGACTTTAACAATCAGATTTTAGCAAGGCCAAGATATGTTTAATTTTAAGGTAACATTAATTTAGAAAAATTATTGTTATTTTCTTTTAATAGATATTCAATGGCCATAAAAATAGGTAATATTAAGAAACATTTAAATGAGAAACTCTAAAATTTTAAAACAGGTAGAAAAATTGAAATACAAGTTGTTTAATTTTGAGCAATATTAGTTATAGAATATTTCCTAACAAAATTGAATCATCACCAACCGAATACTTGTATGAGTGGTATTTTGTAGCCCACGAGAAAAAGGACAGTACCCTGAGAAAATATTTGTTGATATCCACAACTTGAATTTAAAAAAAACTAGAGCTAGCCACTCCATTAGATGGAATTGAAAGAAATTATATGGACAAAAATATATTGTGAGTAAATTATAGAAGAGAGATTATGATTCACTACAAAGACGCCTATTATTGAGGTTTTATTATAGAGAAATAAGGAATAACTAAAATAGCATGCCCAACACATGGCAAAATAAAGAGAGAATTTTATTATAGGGAGGTTAGGAATCATTCCAATATATTGAATATAACTCATTTTCTGAAATATACATGTTTTAGAATGAGTCCTACCCAATAAGTGGCTATAACTAACTATTTAAGGTAAAGAAAAAATGAAAATATAATGAAATATCAGACTACTGTCCCGCGACGTATAAAACTACGATAGGGAGTTTCTCGAGTTCTAATTTCTTTTTCAATTTTTTACTATCTTCCTCCATCAGTTCCATTATCGGGCCCATTGACTTGCGGTGCCCCGGGCGATCGCCCGGTCTTCCCCTGCCTCGTGCCGGCACTGATGCTATGACTTGGGACAGCCAAGTAGCCAATGACTCCGGCCGCGGAGGCCTACGAATCAGTCTAATGAATTCGGCCGCGGTGGGTCAGTTATCCAATACAGGAAATAAAAGAAAAAGAAATAAATAAAAGAGTTTTTGTTTGAACTGAGCAGTAAAAGTATATTTAAAATGACGCATTTACTTTGTTTCTTGCCTGAAAAATTGGGAACATTACTTCTCGTTGCTGTTGGCGAAAATTGCTGCCTATGCTCATATTCGAAGATGACGCGAGAGATAAAGATTTCTTAAGTTTAAAACACGTTCCATATTATATATGTAACTGGAGCCAATTTGTCGAAAAATACGATCTGGTATTGCACGCTGCAGTTTCTAAAAATCCTATCATAAAACATGAACAATAGGTTCTAAAAACACATTACTATGAAAATAAACACGGAAAATCATTTCCGGAATCGACATGAACAGGTTGCTTTTGCTGTATTATTCTCTTGTGAGCAATTTCTTGAAGGCCTTTGGGATGCTCCAAACGAACTTGAAAGATCAGTGCCTTCTCTAACACTGCATGTATCACGCTCACTGCCGGATCGTCCATCCTATCGCAGAACAAGGAGAGTGCGCCGCGCCGGCCCAAACCTACTTTTGGTAGCGACTGGATTCGAGTAGCCAGGGCACCACACCAAGCCCTCAAACGGGTAGAGGGATTTTATTTTCAAGGCAGAAAGTCAAGAAAATTCAAGTTTATGGGGATTCTTGAACAGTAGAATCTTCAACTTTCTCTTACATTCAATTAGAAATTTCTCAGAGATGCATAATACCCACGCGAAGCTGAGGCAGTAAGTTACTTTTTCCCATAAGCAGTACATCGCACCTCATGTGAGTGATCCACAGGCTCTTTGTAAATAATATTGACTTTTGCGAAATGTGAAGTCTACAGAGAAAAGCTTTCCTAGCATCACATTATTACTTTCAAATTATTATATTCTCTCAACTGTATATCAGCATTATGTTTATCTGTATTCTTGCAGATATCCGCATGATTGATGACCTTGAGGGCCTCTATAATATAGCCTACCTACCGCTTCTCTGGAGCCATTCCCAGTGAAGGGCGCTTTCGCGCTCCATGTACATCGCACAGACCTACCTGACCCTCGTACCTTCATATGTCCTTGGTATACCATGCTCCATATCGGTGTCTGTACCAATGTTCTGGGTGTAAAGGGACAGATCCTCAATTTCACACACATCCCACATCAGATGCTTGTCTGATCAAGAGGTTATAGAAGGATTGAGATTTAGATGAAATTCAAGACTCGAAGGCACCCACGCCATAAACCCTTTTCTATTTTTAATAATAATAAATAATTTTCTTTTCTTAAAGATGTCGCCTTATCCACAGATTAAAACGACGCACCTATTGGAATATTTTTAGATCTTTCAAAATCTTTTGACGCCATTCATTATAACATTTTACTCTCAAAATTACCTTCGTATGGAATTTGTGGTGTTGCTCTAGATTGGTTAAGTTCGTACCTTAGACAACGATCTCAGAGAGTGGAAATACCTTACTAGAATAATGGAACATTATGTACACACCTTTCTGATACTTGGCCAATTGCATATGGAGTCCCGCAGAGATCGATTTTAGGCCCTATTCTCTTCCTACTATTACGTAAACGATATGCCCTCGACAATTAGAAACAAAAGAACAGTTCTCTTTGCAGATGATACGAATATTCTTTGCAATAAAGAAACCGTAAATAGTACAATATCAGATATTTCAAATTGGCTCCGTAATAACTAATTAATAGTTAATGAAAAGAAAACTGTTTCAATGCAGTTTTCCATTTCAAATATACAGCTATGCACCTCACTAAAAATGAATGGTGGTGTTAAGGTAACAAAATTTTAGGTCTTTCAATTCAGTTAAACTTTAAATTGAACGCCCAATTAAATGAATTTAACACTAAATTAAGTTCTTTATGCTACGCATTCAGAATCCTTTCAAATTCAGTCAGCCTACACACTGCTTGTTGTGTATATTTCGCGAATGTTCATTCCCGCCTGAGATATGGCACAATATTAAGGGGCAATACGTCGTATAACTCCCAGACTTTTA